TTTGTTTTCTTTATGTTGAGGTGTAATCCATACTGAAGGCTGTGGTCTTTGATCTTCATCAGTAAGTGCTTCAAGTCCTCTTCACTTTCAGCAAGAAAAGTTTTGTCATCTGCATAACGCAGGTTGTTAATGAATCTTCCTCCAGTCCTAATGCCCCGTTCTTCACATAGTCCAGCTTCTCATATTATTTGCTCAGCATACAGATTGAATAGGTATACTGAAAGGATACAATCCTGACTCATACCTTTCCTGACTTTAAATCACGCAGTATCCCCTTTTTCTATTCGAACAACTGCCTCTTTATCCATCCATGTACATACTCCTCAGGAGCACAGTTAAGTGTTACTGAATTCCCACAACTTTATCCATAATTCGTTATGATCCACACAGTCGAATGCCTTAGCATAGTCAATAAGACACAGGTAAACATCTTTCTGGTATTATATGCTGTCAGCCAGGATCCATCTGACATCAGCAATGATATCCCTGGTTCCACGTCCTCTTATAAAACCAGCTGGAATTTCTGGCAGTTCCCCTGTCAATATACTGCTGCAGCCGCTTTTGAATGATCTTCAGCAAAATATTGCTGGCGTGTGATATTAATGATATTGTTTGATAATTTCCACATTCAGTGGGATTAGGCATAAATATGGATCTCTTCTAGTCGGTTGACCAGGTAACTGTCTTCCAAATTTCTTGGCATAGACGAGTGAGCACTTCCAGCACTGCATCCGTTTGTTGAAACATGTCAATTGGTATTCCATCAATTCCTGGAGCCTTGTTTTTTGCCAATGTCATTAGTGCAGCTTGGACTTCTTCCTTCAGTGCCATTGGTTCCTGATTATATGTTACCTCCTGAAATGGTTGAACTTGACAGATTCTTTTTACTATAGTAACTCTGTGTATTCCTTCCATCTTTTGATGCTTCCCACATTGTTTTTTAATATTTTCCCCGTAGAATCCTTTAGTATTGCAACTTGAGGCTTGAATTTTTTCTTCAGTTCTTTCAGCTTGGGAAATGCTGAGCATGTTCTTTCCTTTTGGCTTTCTATCTCCAGATCTTTGCATATATCATTATAATACTTTACCTTGTCTTCTCGAGCTGCTCTTTGAAATCTCCTGTTCAGCTCCTTTACTTCATTTTTTCCTTTTCCTATAGCTACTCGATGTTCAAGAGCAAGTTTCAGAGTCTCTTCTGACATCCATTTAGGTGTTTTCTTTCTTTCCTGTCTTTTTAATGTCCTCTTGCTTTCTTCATGTATGATGTTGATGTCATTCTACAACTCATCTGGTCTTTGGTCATTAGTGTTAAATGCCTCAAATCTATTCTTGAGATCATTTCTAAATTCAGTTGGGATATACTCAAGGTCGTACTTTGGCTCTCATGGACTTGTTCTAATTTTCTTCGGTTTCAACTTGAACTTGCATATGAGTAATTGATGGTCTGGTCCGCGTTCGGCCCCTGGCCTTGTTCTAACTGATGATATTGAGCTTTTCCATCGTCTCTTTCCACACATGTAGTTGATTTGATTCCTTTGTATTCTATCTGGTCAGGTCCACATGTATAGTCTCCGTTTATGTTGTTGAGAAAAGGTATTTGCACTGAAGGAGTAGTTGATCTTGCAAAATTCAATCATGCGATCTTTAGCATTGTTTCGATCACTAAGGCCATATTTTCCAACTACCGATCCTTCTTTGTTTCCAGCTTTCTCATTCCAATCACCAGTAATTATCAGTGCATCCTGATTTCATGCTTGATTAATTTCAGACTGCATAGGTTGGTAAAAATCTTCAATTTCTTCATCTTTGGCCTTAATGATTGGTGCATAAATTTGAATAGTAGTCTTATTAACTGGTCTTCTTTGTCAGTGGATGGATATTATCCTATCACTGACAGGATAGATACTTTCGGATAGATCTTGAAATGTTCTTTTTGACGATGAATGGAATGCCATTCCTCTTTAAGTTGTCATTCCTGGCATAGTAGACCATATGATTGTCTGATTCAAAATGACCAATACCAGTCCATTTTACCTCGAATCAAATGCCTAGGATATAGATCTTTATGTGTTCCATTTCATGTTATCCATAATTTGTTATAATCCACACAGTTGAATGCCTTTGTAGTAAAACACAGGTAAACATCTTTCTGGTGTTCTCTGCTTTCAGCCAGGATCCATGTGACATCAGCAGTGATATCCCTGGTTCCACACTCTCTTCTGAATCCAGGTTAAATTTCTGGCAGTTCCCTGTTAATGTACTGCTGCAGCTGCTTTTGAATGATCTTCAGCAAAATTTTACATGCTTGTGATATTAATTATATTATTTGATAATTTCTACATTCTGCTAAATCACCTTTCTTTGGAATAGATATAAGTATACATCTCTTCCAGTCGGTTGACCAGTTAGTTGTCTTCCAAATTTCTTGGCATAGACAACTGAGCACATGCAGCAGTGCACGCATTTGTTGAAACATCTCAATTGATATTCCATCAATTCCTGGAGACTTTTTTTTCGCCAATGCCTTCAATGCTGTTTAGACCTCTTCCTTGAATACCGTCGGTTCCTGATCATATGCTACCTCCTGAAATGTTTGAATATCTAGAATTTCTTTTTGGTGCAGTGACTCTATGTATCCATTCCATATTCTTTTGATGCTTCCTGTGTCATTTAATATTTTCTTCTTAGAATTGAATCTTTCATATTGCTACTTCAGGCTTGAATTTTTTCTTTAGTTTTTCAGCTTGAGAAATGCCAAGCATGTTCTTCCCGTTTGATTTTCTATCTCCAGTTCTTTACACATGGCATTATAATAGTTTGTCTTCTGGAGCCACACTTTGAATTCTTCTGTTCAGCTCTTTTACTTCATCATTTCTTCCTTTCTCTTTAGCTACTCTATGTTCAATAGCAAGTTCAGAATCTGTTCTGACATCTAGTTTGGTCTGTTCTTTCTTTCCTGTCTTTTTAATGACCTATTGCTTCCTTCACGTGTGATGTCCTTGATGTCATTCCACGACTCGTCTTCAGTCAGTACTGTTCAACGCATGAAATATATTCTGGAGATGGCCTCTAAGTTCAGGTGGGATATACTTAAGGTCGTACTTTGGTCTTGTGGATTTATTCTAATTTTCTTCAACTTCAACTTGAACTTAAATATGAGCCATTGATGGTAAATTAGACAGTAAAAAACAGGAAGACCCTCAATGAGATGGTTTGACGCAGTGAGTATAACAGTACTCACTTGTATGGTTTGTGCTTATTTGTTATTACAAACCATTGTATATATCTTGAATTTTAAATATAATAACTTTACTACGGAGTTTGGTAACTATGGGTTGTATGTAAGTTGGACTTTCATAATCTGGGGACTGCCTATATCTATTTTGCCCGCATGAACTAGATTGTACGTCAATATCACATAAATCAGTTTTAATAAATGAGGATTCCAGAGGTAAGGACTTGATGGAAAGCAGTCTTTCCTGAGACTCAGGGCTTTACCAGGAGAAGAAGCTTCAGGTTGTCTGAATTGAATAGGATGATTCCTTTGTCTCCTTTCCCTAGCACCCAGGAGGGCTCTAGATCATTCATAGTGTTCTCTGAGAATAACAGTGAGTCTAATAACAAAACTATATTCATATATGAATAGAAATGTAATTGTAAGCAATTTAGACTTTTAAGGCAAACTGCCCTGCATTGAAACCCTGGCTCAGCAATATTCCAATTGTGCAACATTGAACATATGATTGATTATTTTCAACTTTCTTCAACTATGAACTGTTTGAAATAGTGTCTGCTTAGGAGAGTCATTATGGGAAATAAGTTAACTGGTGGGTCGAACTTTTTGCAAAACCTTCCACATGTGGTAGTTGCTCAATAAATGGAACATTTTATTATTAACGTATTATAGTAATGAATGTTAGGGTTTTGGTGGTTTTAAAATATGTAATGTGTCCCACTGCAGTAGAGGAGACTTTTGAATTTTGGCTCTGCATCGATGTTTACTGTGACACCATCATACCAGGATTGATTAGAGATGGCCTAGGCAGCTCACTTCACCCCCTGCCCTGACCAGAGGAGCCTTCCTATTGTACAGCTACTCTGCTGTTCATTCCACTTTTTGCATCAGAAGTGCATGTAGCAGACTTTTGTCACTGCATGGGGAAACCAATGTATTGATGCTTTTTCACAGAGGCCAGTCCTATAGCCCAGGGGATGCCAGTGATCAGGGTTTGGGTAGTCATGCTTGCTTGATTTCCAGGGTCTGCAAACGTCAGAAAATGTTGGAGTGCAGCCTGTAGAGGGCTAGTATGTAAATCTCTGTTTTCTAGGATTCACAGGGAATTTAAGAGCTAATTCCTCTGTACTTTAATTAACTTATTTTCAAAATGTTTGTGTGTACAAAAAATACATAAAACATTTGGCTATGCAGCAATGATTCAGTGACATTGATTACATTCATCATGTTGCCCACCCATTACAAAAACAGAATCTTAACCTCTTTCATGGTCAGCAAACACAAGGGTGTGCTCTTCTGGTTCTTGCAGAGATAGCGCTCTTTGTCATCATATAACATTAAAGCGTGTTTGTATGGGTGTTTAGGTGTATGTTTGTTGAGGGAAGTGTTCACTAACAATTGAGGTACACTAGCATCGGTTCTTGAATTTTGAGAATTGTGAGGAGATCTTGATTTTCATGTTTCATGTCTCTCACCTGAGCTCCAATTAACTTTTAAATGCCCTTGCCTGAATCCATGAAAGGGATAGAGAGGATGACAGTACGACTGAATTTTTGAAAAACAGATGACAGACATGTAAAAATACATCATTCTCAGAAATAATATTCTGCTTGTAGAAAGTGGCCTGTTACCTCCTGATAATTTGGAATTCTTCAAGAAAATATGAGGCTCTCAGGGCTTTGGGTTACCGGTTTGTTGTTGTGGGCCCCTGGGCCTCCCATGACTGGTGAGGGGCAAAAGGAAAACCTGCAAGTTGTACAGTGTTGGCAATTTGTTAATATCTCATCTGTTTTCACCCCTTGGCTCATGTTTTTTTGAGAGTTCTGGTGGGTCTTGAGGAAGGAGATGAAATTGTTTTTTTGTTTTTGTTTTTCATAAGGAATTGATCTGAACGTAGATATAAGACTTGCATTTATTTATAGAGCATTTCTCTATTTTCTGGTACGTTCTCTGAGTATTCTAGCCCATAAAGATAGAATAAGACTGGAATTGGTATTGTCAAATCTATGACACAGGATGAAATCAGTGAGGAAGGGAATGTAGGCAGTGATGGGATGAAGCTAATGCCTAAACCCTAGGGTAGACCTTGTTACAACACAGAACCTTGTGTCAAATCCTTATGAATTCTCAGCTCCCCAGGACTGTCAACTTTACCCATCCTTTGCACACATTGGAGTGCATGGTATCTTGCTGAACCAGAATATGTGGGATGTTTTAGGACTCAGTGGTCGTTGAGGATGTGGCTGTGGAGTTTACCCAGGAAGAGTGGGCTTTGCTGAGTCTTGCTCAGAGGAAACTCTACAAAGAAGTGATGATGGAAACCTTCAGAAACCTAGCCTCAGTAAGTAAGTATGGTATCATTTTTAATTTATTATTTAGTGAATACATGTATCATACTCATCAACCTTGCTCCAGTATTTGGGCTGAAGAATGAGAATGCATTGTTAAACAGGACAGGCGTGCTCATTTGATTTATGAATCTTAAATATCCTGGCTTCCCTTGAATATAAAGCTGTATGTATTAAAGTACATTTTCATTTCCCTTGTTAAAATCCTTGAGGCTCTTTTAGTGTTGTAAGTGTGAGAATTCACTTCAGGCATTACGTTAGTGTACAGAGAGGAGACTTATGGTTTGGAACCTTATAAAGAGTTTCACTGTGCTTTTTACAAGTTAGACATGATTATTTTGCTGCAAATAAATTCACACCTGCTCATCTCCAGAGACTGAAGGCCACATTGTTGGTTCAGTGTCAGGGAAACGTTCATTGCTCTTCACTGTCTTCCCTCATGATATGCTCTCTTAATGAGCAGCATGTCAGCTATACCCATTTATTCTCCCAAAAAAGCAAGGAAAAGATCTGAGGAGAGTGGACGTAGGACATCCAGAACCACTATGTCGGGGTGCACCAGCAAAGCAAGAATCCTTTGAAGGACCGGCCCTGCATGGAGGGAATTAGATTTGAATAAATCAGTTAGAAAACCTATCTTTTGGATTAAGGATACTGAACTTCACAGGCCTGAGCTTACTTTCATCAGTTTTTTCACACTTATGTTCATGAATAAAAATCTTCCTCTTTTCTCTTACATATGCATTGAGCATTTCCACATTACATGTACAATCTGTCCAATATCATTGTACTTTACTCTCCTAATTACACCCTATTTATGCCACTGTCACTAGGACTTCGAACCAGTTCTTCCTGGTTCAATCATGGCCATGGAAGTGAAACCAGAACAGACCTGAATTTTTTTTTTTTGGAAAAGATTTTTTATTTAGTGTTTAGGGTTAAAAACTACAAGATTTTGCTTGCAGCTGATGAGCGAAAGAGAAAAGTTAAACATAAATTATCATCTGGTTGACTCATTAAAATGCTCTCAGAGTCAAATTATTCAAGTGACATGCCAGTTACTCTGTGTGGGCTTAAGAGTTCTGGAGCAAAATAGCTCTAAACAAAACTTGTCATCTGAAAGCATGGGGCTAATGGGTATGAAATAGTGAATAAGAAAGCTGATGAAGGGAGGTTATCAGACCTGTCGATTCTTTTAGGCTTCTCTCAGTTAGTTACCATGTGCAAGGACCTAACAGCCAGTTATTTTATCTCTTGACTTTTCTGAGTTAAACAACTTTAACCCACACCCACTAAGCAGGAATAAAGAGAAACTTTAAGATCATCTGGAAAACAAAACAGTCCCACTTCTCCAGTAAAATTTTAGTTGAATTAAATCGTAAGAGAAACAATGATTATTGCACATATTGTACTTGTTGCACTACATCTGTTGAGTAGAATTTCCATTCCAAGTGTTGTTTTTGTCTTCACCATCATCTTGAGTCCTCAATCTATATATCTTCCCCTCTTTTTTAAAGTCTTCCCCACGTTTCTGCAGTACTCTTTTTCTGACTGGTTCCATTTTTTCTGAGTTGCTAGATGATGCAGAGTTTGAGGGTTCTGATGATGTTGCTATCACAGAAGTCTGTGCAGGAGGAGGATTACTAAATAAGAAGTTGCTAATCAATCTCCAGATGGCAAGGAATGGGTAAAGTACTGTCCCCAACAATGTCCAAATGTCTCCACTGGAAGAATGTACCATGGATGTGGTTGGTCTTCCTGCTGGCAACAGTACCACTGAAGCACTTGGGGCAAGTTCCAAATCCAATAATTTCTTTTTATAGTCTTCTTTGGTAAATTCCCTCTTGGGAAACATGGTTGCTAATGAAAAATTACCGTAAGTGTTGCCAACAGTCTGTGCAGCAAACTGTCTTGCTTCCTCTAGAGGAGCATCAGAAGGGAACTGATTTGTAAAGGAAGAACCATCAGGAAGACGGAATTGAATTCTAGCAATAGTACTTCTTTCTCTTACATAAGATTCCCTCTTGACTTCCATTTCTGCCTGTTTGGCCAGCAAGGCAGCTGCTTTGGCAGCTTCTACTTCTTCCTTTGTCTTGGCAAAACAAGCAGCTCTCTCTGCACGGTCCAATGCAATCTGCTGTTTTATACACTCTCGAGCTGCCCTATCTTCTGCTTTTTCTCTGTTTCTTTCCTCTAACATTCTTTTAATTTTTCTTCTTGCTTCGATAATCCAACATTTCTTTTCCAGTTTTTCTTCTCTCAATTTCCTTCTTAATCTCTCTCTGCTCTTCCTCTTTCCTTTTTTCTTCTCTCCTTTCTTCAAGTTTTTTGGTTAGTCTTTCCACTCTGACGGTGAGGTCTTCTGCAGGTCTTGGATTTGAACACTCACTAGGATCCTGAGAGGGAGTGGCATGGCCTGAACTCTCCTCCTATTGCAATATCTGACTTTGCATCAGGAGAATTGGGTGGTGTCTCACAAAGCTTGGCATTTTTGGACTGACAGTTTTCAGACATGTTTTTAGGTTCAAATGAAGTACATGGAGTAGGAACTGAACTTTCTGACTGGCTCCCATTTGCAACTGATGTTTCGACTTTTAGTGAGTGCATCTGTTGAACTTTGTGAATTCTGGTAACAAGTTTATCTGCAGAAGCATTTCCTGCTATTACTTCCAAGGGAATTCCACTGTCTCCAGTAAAGAAACTGGATGGAACACATATTACAGGATAGATTTGTGAAAATTGTAGGCAAGCTTCACTTTTGGTATCGATTTTAATAGCAACAAAACTGTTCGAGAATGCTTCTGTCACTTTCTCATCTTCCCAACTTGTAGCCATTTGTGTAGACTGCTCATCATTACCTGCCAGGAACACCACGAAGACCGAGCCACTCCTCTTGGCCAACGTGATGGCGTCCGGAATGGAGCCCTGGAACCACAGCACCGCTCCCTTTGGGCCCAGGCACTCGCTTGGTGTGTCGTTGTCACGGTCCCGGAATAGGCTCCACTCTCCCTCTTTGGTCGGCCCCACGGCCCCCGCAGCCTGGGCTATTCCGGCCTCCGATGCTGCACATGCACGCACAACCTCGTCAGAGCCCCCGGGGATACGCGCAAGCACGCGGGTCAGACGCGCTCCGTTTCACGTGACGCCACACGTCGCCGTCGGCACACGGCCCAGTGTTTGTCTCGTTAGCAAGTTCGTGCGTGCGCGCGCCCACTCGGGCTCAGGCCCCGCAGTCCAGGAAGTAGAGGAAGCAGACCTGAATTTTTAAAGTTACAGACCAGAATTTAAAATTTTGTTGAACCAGATCGATAAATGGAATGGGAAAAATGATAAGTCGAATCCCTGGTAGAAACTTAATCTCCCTCTTAGAAAAAAAGGGCAGCATACACGTTGCATAGCAACCAAATCTCTTGCCGGTAGGATTTTGAGCAAAGTAGGCAACCACGATGCCCTGCCCAAGGATGATGGCCAGGCACACTGCTTTCAATGCGTACCACTCCCTGCAGTTGTGTCAGTAATCCAATCTCCCACATCAGGCTTACATGCCTCTCACATTCCAAGGCTTGGACCCATAACTTTTCCCATTCTGGTTATCATCCTGGTTCACCAAAATTGAAAAAATTTGATTCTGTTCTGGTTTCATTTCCACCCCCTAGCTGAACCGGTTTGAAACAGTTCAAACCCTGCTGTCACTCTCAATCTTCATGGAAGTATTTCCTAGAAAATTGCTTTTTGACTATTGCCAAAGACGTGAAACAGCCAAATATGTTATTCCTTCTTTGCTCACAGCTGCCTTTTTCCTCGAAATAATTCCTTTCCTTTTTGTTTCATATGGTGAACCTCAACTTCAATCATTGGATCAGTTTCTCAAAACCTTAATGGTGGAAAAAAGTTATCCAGTGAATATGTAATAGTGGAATTCATGAAGAATGACATCTGGTCCTCCATGTTAGAAGGTATCTGTGAATTGCGTGGTGTTGAAGATCAGCATACAAATCAGGGGAGACATATGAGGTGAGTATCATTCACATGAGAGAGAGCAGTGCCTCATGATGAAATCTTAAGATGTCATGACATGAAAATTATATGTATATATGTAGATATATATGTATATGTGTATACATATATGCATACATGTTTATGTGTATGTAATATAAAACTAGTTCTAAAGTTGTATGTTCACAGAATTTTCACAATATAATATATTCATAAATGTTAGATATCGGATATTGGAAATATATTTCACAGTACACAGTTATCAGAAAGCCTCGGGTTTCAGAAACACTGTAACAGTAATGGTAGCCTATCTACCAGATGATTTAACCTATGAAACATGAGGCAACTTAGCGCAAAAATCATAAACATTGACCATGTTTGGTAATAGTGAAATGGGAACAAATTTAATCCTAACAACATGCTACCTATTTTTAACAGAAGGCATATGATAAAGAACCTTTTTGAAAGTAATGAAGAAAATCAAGGTGGAAAAACCTTCAGACAGATACCAAATCTAACTGTGTTCAAAAGAACTCCTACTGTTGTAAATTCTTCTGAATGCCGTGAGTGTGGAACATTCTTCATCAATCACTCATCCCTTAAGCATCATATCAGATCTCACTCTGGTTGCAATACTTATCAATATAAGAAATGTAGAGAAGCCCGCAGTTGTCCCTCTGGCCTAAACACTCCTGTAAGAACTCTTACTGAAGAGAAACCCTATAAATGTAAGGCGACACTCACTGGAGAGAAACCCTATGAATGTAACAAATGTAGGGAAGATATCTGTAGTTTCTCATCCTTTCGGACTCATGTGAGACGTTGTAAACATGAATGTGAAGAACATTGGAAAACCTATCCCTCATCACACTTTGTACATAACAAATTTCATAATAGAGATATGCCTTATGAATGTAAAGCATGTGGGAAAGGCTTCAGTCATTCCTCATCCCTCATTATACATATAAGAAATCATAGTGGAGAGAGGCCTTATGAATGTAAGGAATGTGGGAAAGCCTTTAGTAAGTCCTCAACCCTCACTTCACATACAAGAGTTCACACTGGAGAGAAGCCTTATGGATGCAAGGAATGTGGGAAAGCCTTTAGTAGTTCTTCATCCCTCACTAGACATACAAGAATTCACAATGGAGAGAGGCCTTATGAATGTAAGCAGTGTGGAAAAGCCTTTAGTTTTTCGTCATCCCTTACTACACATGTAAGAACCCACAGCGGAGAGAGGCCTTATGAATGTAAGATATGTGGGAAAGCCTTTAGCGACTACTCATCCCTCACTCAACATATAAGAACTCACAGTGGAGAGAGACCTTATGAATGTAAGGACTGTGGGAAAGCCTTTAGTTGTTCTTCAGCCCTCACTAAACATCTAAGAACTCACAGTGGAGTGAGGCCTTATGAATGTAAGGAATGTGGGAAAACCTTTAGTCAATCCTCAGCCCTCACTTCACATCTAAGAGTTCACACTGGAGAGAAGCCTTATGAATGTAAGGAATGTGGAAAAGCCTTTAGTCATTTTTCAGCCCTTGCTATACATACAAGAGTTCACACTGGAGAGAAGCCCTATGAATGTAAGGAATGTGGAAAAACCTTTAGTCATTCCTCAGTCCTCACTACACATATAAGAGTTCACACTGGAGAAAAACCTTATGAGTGTAAGGAATGTGGGAAAGTCTTTAGTCGTTCCTCATCCCTCACTTTTCATATAAGAACTCACAGGAAGGCCTTATGAATTTAAGGAATGAGAGAAGGCCCCTAGTGATTCCTAAGACCTCAGTAGACATATGAAAACTCATGGAGAGAGACGTTAGGAGTATACGGAATGTGGGAAAGCCTTTAGTGAGCCTTCATCCCTCAGTAGGCACATAAGAATTCACATTGAAGAGAGGATTTATGAATGTAAGAAATATGGAAAAGCCTTTATTCAGTCCTTGCTCTCAGTAAACTCACAATGTGGAGAGACATGAACGTAAGGAATTTGGGAAAGCTGTTCCTCATACCTCTTATCTCACAGAACACAAAAGAAGGCATAGTGAAGAGAAGCCTTATGAATATAAGGAATGTGGGAAAGTCTTTATTCTTCTCTATAGGCATACTGAATCACAGTGGAGAGAGTCCTTGTGCACGTAAGGAACATGGAAACTTCAGATGTTCCTCATAATTTGGAATACATCTGAGTATATGTGTAAGTAATGTTGGATAGCTTTCATCTTTCCTCTTTTTCCCAAACCTAAAAGAAGATACATGGCAGAAAAACCATGTAAGTGTAAGAATGTGGGACAATTTTTGGTTTTCTCCCCATACTTTGAAAGATTTTTTAATTTATGCATATGGAAGAGCATCCCCTAATTGTCCCTTCTGAATATTTGAGAAGTCACACTGGAGAGACATCATGTAAATGTAAGGTACCTAGGATCATTTACACATCTTTCCATTCTCTGGGGGTGTCTGACATATTACACGGGATTGATCCTATAAATGTGGAAGATGATGGAAGCCTTCTGTGTTACTCCTTCAGGTCGCCTATGAGACCTTACACACTGGAGAGATCCTCTGACTAAGCTTTGTGATAAAGCCTTCAATAACATTATTTCCCTTTTGATGCATAATGAAATTTATACCAGGGGAAGAATCTTATCAAAGTTAGAAATGTGGAATTTACCACTGTTTTATCCCCATGTGCATTTATTTCCACTTTTTATTTTCTGATGTAAACATTAAAGTGAAAAATATCACTGTAAGTCCACTTTCAGTTCTATGGTATGAATTTTTATAGTGTTTGCATTTTTGTTAGAATCACACTATTCTTGATGTTTTGCATATTTCCTCAGCCTTTCTTGTCTTCACAATAGTGGTTTTAACAGAAATAGAATTGTACTGTACGTTTTAATCCAAAATCATCCCACAGAGGTGCCTCTCTCTCAAATGGTGGTTTGAGTAGCAGGGTTTCCATGGAAGAACATCTCTTTCTGTGGCCCAAGTCAGTGATGGGCCCACACAGAGCCCCTACTTGACCTAGCAGCAATGGAACGTCTGACTTACACGGACATAGAGCCTGTGCTCAGTGACAGATTGTTAGTTTTGATCATTCTGATATTCCAAGAGTGTGCCAGACCAGGAGCTAAGGCTGTAGTTGCTGAGCTACAATAATAGATGGTGATCCAGCTGTGCGAACACCCCCTACAGGGTTGGAGAAGATGGGGGCCCATCTGGGTTTCCATCTGGGTTTGTATTAGCATGTGAAAGGCAAGAGGCTGTTGGGTCTAGAAGTTTATCCAGCTCCACTCTGCCTCCTACTGAGCTGAGAGCTGGCTCACTTACTCCTCATGTAAGGGACCTGTGAAATGGTAGCTGAAAGTAGCAGAAGCCTTCAGATTAGATTTTCCCTTGATCCATCAGTTCCACTTGTAGTATCATCCTATGGAAATACCTGGGCACCATGATGGTGCCTGTTGATAGTGGTGATAGATAATAAATACCATGAGAGTCAGTGTCCACTGGAAAGGTTATTGTTAGATAAATGCCTGGCCATACATCAGAATACTGAACTGCTACAAAATGAGTGTTTTCAGAAAACTCTGGACCGCAGGAGAGGCAATCATAGCATTATATTGTATAAAAGGCGGGAGTGTTCTAGCATGAGGAGTTGTCTAGATTCCTTAGGGATCAGAATCAGCATCAGCACAAAGCTGGTTCCTATGGGGTGGTCAGACATTCCAATTTCTTCACCATTTCTGATACCAGCTGTTCCACCTACAGCACACTCTTCTTCTCTGCTGGGTTCAGTTGTTTGTTGCAGTGGCCAAACAGAACTCACAGATGATATGCACAGTTATGTGGTTTATTAGGGGAGTAACAGTATGCAGTTCATTACAGGATTAACTTCATCAATCAGGACAGCTTCCAACCAGGACAGCTCTCTCAGCTCATCTGTGCCATATTAGTTGACCTTTCTTAGTTGAGCACACTTCTCTGCCTTTGGCATTCTTGCCTTCAGCCTTTCCAATGCTAACTGGCCCAGCTCATAACCAATATAGCAGCCCACTCAGCTCTCTTAGCTGCTTTCCTAGCAGCAGTTTTCCACCTTCACCACCCGTTCTGCTGTCAGCTCTCTGCTCTGGGCCCCTTTTTGAGCCTCGCATCATCCTCGATGTTACAGCTCTTCCCCATGTTACAGCTCTTTTAGGAGGTTCCCTCCTCTCTGCCCCTTGTGGGGTTGCTACTTATATATGCAAACTCCTTGTCAATTTCAAGGCATGGCTGTCTCTGCAGGACCATGACTGACCAATCCCTCTTGGTGGTCTGCAAGTCAGTCCTACTGGGTGGATTTTCAGGTCACTATTTGAATAGCAGATTGACCAGGCTCTGTAAGATGCAGAAAATAAACCCATTCACAGGGCAGACTGTGGCCCAACCAATTATTTTTGGCAGAATTACAAACTCAAGGCCAGAATGGCCACATATAAGAGAAACCCATTGCACTGCAGCAAGGTATAAAATAGTGTGTACATGATGATGTCAGCTTGTTAAACATTTACGTATTCACATATATTTTATAAAAGTCAATGAACTATCTTGTACAAGACAGTACATTCTAGAACATTAACAGAGATTCTCCCCTGAAGGTGAGATTATGATTGATTTCTTGTATCATTTTGCTCCTTCTTGGATTTCTTTTTTTTTACATTCATCACTCATTTCTTTTGAAATTTTTATCTTTTTTTAAGTTTAAAAATAGTAATTTACTTTTGGAATCTGAGTTGACAGATGCATGAAGTCTCATATTGTTAGGTGCTGTTGAGTCAATTCTGACTTAGAGCAGTGCTATGTACAACAGAACAAAACACTGCCTGGTCCTGTGCCATGTTTGAGCCCATTGTTGCAGCCACTGTGTCAATCTATCTCATCGAAGGTCCTCCTCTTTTTCGCTGACCCTTTACCTTACCAAGCATGATGTCCTCCAGGGATTGGTCCCTCCTGATAACATGCCGAAAGTACGTGAGACAAAGTCTCGCCATCCTCACTTCCAAGGAGTACTCTGGCTGTACTTCTTCCAAGACAGACTTATTTGTTCTTCTGGCAGTCCATGGTATATCCAGTATTCTTCACCAACACCATAATTCAAAGCCATCAATTCTTCATCGGTCTTCCTTATTCATTGTCCAGCTTTCACATGCATATGAGATGTTTGAAAATATCATGGCTTGGGTCAGACACACCTTAGTCTTCTGAATGACATCTTCGCTTTTCAACACTTTAAAGGTCTTTTGCAACAGATTTGCCCAATGCAATACACAAAGTCTCATGATCAGTTGCAAAATCAAAGTACAGAATGGTACCACACTTCCCTCCAAAATTCTCTCTGGTGCTGCCCCTTTTTTGTCAAACTTTCCCTTCCCGTGGCAATAAATCCCTAGCAACTGTCCCTGTACATACCACGCACTGTGTAGCTTTTTTGATTCTGTCTCCTTTCCCATAGCATAATATATTTGAGAGTCATCCATGTTGATGAATGATCGATAGCTTATTCCTTTTAATTGCTGTGTAGTGTTCCATTGTATAGCCATACCGTAGTTTGTATATTTGTCAATTGAAGGACATTTGTATTTACAGTTATTATGAATAAAGGCGATATAAACATTCCTGAACAGGTTTTATGTGAACTTAGAGTTTTCATTTTTCTTGCATATATCCCTGGAAGTAGGATTGCTGTCATGTGGTAACTGTATGTTTAACTGCATAAGAAACTGCTGATCTGTTTTTTAAAAGGCTATGCCGTTTTGTATTCCCACCACCAATTCATAATTCCAGGTATGTTGACATCTGGACAGATTGATTTCTGATGCAGTCTAGTAATACACTTCTGTTTGGCACTGCCATCAAGGGGAGAGGTACAGGTGGGTGGTTGTCTTAGTTTCTTAGTGCTGCTATAACAAATACCACAAGTGGGTGACTTTAACAAACAAATTTATTTTCTCATTTTTGGAGGCTAGAAGTCAAAGTTCTAGGGTGTCAAGCTCTAGGGTGGGTTCTCTGTCTGCTCTGGGGGAAGGTCCTTGCCTCTTTTCAGCTTCTGTTCCTTGATTCCTTGGCTTCTTCATGTGGTATGGCATCTATCTTCCCTTATCTGTGCTTTCTTGCTTCTGTGCCTAATCTCCTTTTGTATCTCTGAAATGATTGGCTTAATACACACCTTCCACTGGTATGACCTCATTAACATAACAAAGAAAACCTATTCCCAGTGGAATTACATCCACAGGTGTTGTTAGTTGCCATCGCTGAGTTCCGACTTATAGCAACCCTATGTACAACAGAACAGGTTTAGGGGTTAGTATTTACAACACATATTTTTGGGGAACACAATTCAGTCCACAACAGTGCTTCGTCTGACAGGCATCCCCACATTTGCTGAGGAGAGGGGATGTCCTGTAGCAATCTCGATTAGACAACAGGCCCATGTGTATGGGACTTTGGGCTATCCCACCACTGCCACAGCCAGCCTAGTCTGAACCCAGGGCCCAACCAAGTCTTGCTGAAGAAAAACAACATCTCTACTCGGGTCCCAGCTGCAGGAAGTGGCTGTTGTTCCTTGTCATCACAATTCCTGAGTACTTTTCCATTACTCTGTTTCTGGTATGGAAACAAGAAGAGGATGTGGACATCTGAGTTAGCAGGTCAGCTTGTGGGCATCCATCTTACCGCTCACTGCCTCCACTCCTACATCTGAAGTAAGTGTGATTGCTGGATTGTATCGTAAACCTATATTTTTAGCTTCCTAAAAAAATGCCCTAGTTTTCTAATGTGGCTGTGCCATTTTGTATTCTCACCAGCAGTGAATGAGAATTTCTGTTGTCACTTTCATGCCAGCATTTTGTGTTGTCAGTATTTTGGATGTTAGCTATTTTAATAAGTTTATAGTAGAACCTCAGTTTTGTTTTAATTTTCAGTTCCCTAATGACATTGCTGAGCATCGCTTTGTATGATCATTTGCCACCTTCAGTGAAGTATGTCCTCAGATCTTCTGCCTAGTTTGTAAATGGGTTGTTTGTTTTCTTATGGTTGAGTTTGTAGAGTTCTTTGTATGCTTAAAATACAAGTCCTTTATCAAATATGTGTTACAGACTTT